GAACCAATCGGTAGTCAAGGTCGAATTTACTGCTTATAAACTCCAACTTTCCATGAATCTCGTACATTCATAACTGCTCTGGCGTATCGAATGTAAACAAATGACGTCATATATTAAAAAATGGACAAGGTCCGACAATTTATTTATTAAAGACATATTTTTTATGTTTAACGTTGTTATTTTATAGATACAAGTATTTAAGCAAATGCTCTGTTTATGATAAACAGTATTAAATAACATTTACCGGCCTGAATGTCCGAGAAATTTCCATAGAAAATTTTCGTTCTTTGACAGGATTCGAACCTGCATCCTATACGGAACCGTCATATACGCTGACGTGCCTTTACCGCTTGAGCTACAAAGAACCAATCGGTAGACAAGGTCAATTTACCTTTATAAACTCCAACTTTCCATGTATCTCGCGGTAAATTCATAACTGCTCTGGCGTATCGAATGTAAACAAATGACGTCATATATTAAAAATGGACAAGGTCCGAAAATTTATTTATTTCAGACATATTTTTGTTATTTAACGTTGTTATTTTATAGATACAAGTTTTAAGCAAATGCTCTGTTTATGATAAACAGTATTAATTAAACATTTAATATGCCTGAATGTCCGAAAATTTTCATACCTTGTCCATTTCGTTCTTTGACAAGTTTGTTTACATTCGATACGCCAGACCGTCATATAAATGTGACGTTTGAAAGTAGTTTAAAAGAACCAATCGGTAGACCTTGTCTACCGATTGGTTTTTTGTAGCTCAAGCGGTAAAGGCACGTAAATATCGACCCGTATAGGATGCAGGTTCGAATATCTGTCAAAGAACGAAAATTTTCTATGAATTTTCATTCAGGCCGGTAAATGTTATTTAATACTGTTTATCATAAACAGAGCATTTGCTTAAATACTTGTATCTATAAAATAACAACGTTAAACATAAAAATATGTCTTTAATATATATATATATATATATAATGGAATCTATGTAATATATATTAATATTTATATAGGCTCCTCTAAAAATTCTCTAAAATAGGAGCCTGCATCATGGAAAGATGTCCAAAGCACAATAAAAACAAAATGCTATCGTGAAAATCTTTGTCTCATGATTAAAAGGAAAGATGAAAAGATTTTTTTAATGTTAAAAGTATTGGCTTTATTCTTTTTAGAAACCTGGAAATTTTGGTCAGAAAGTCTTGTTTTTCTGTCGGAGGTGAAGTATGAATTAGTCTGGGAAATTTAGGCGACTTTTTGCCTGTAAGAAACACTGATTTGGAAATTCTTGCAAAAATCACATAATTGTTAGATTTTAATGAAACTTTCAGGATTTATTCAGAAATGAATTAATTCTGAAACGTTTCTTTTTTTTTAGAAAATCTTTGTAAAATATTTTAATCTGTTCACCAAAAAACACACCCATCTATCTACCATCATCCCCACCACCATCACGCCTCACCCAACTCATTTAATTTTATGAAATTTCGAAAATTATTTTTGTAACACATAATAATAATTATATTTGTTATAAGAACAAGTCCGCGGAGAATTTGAATCAAAGATGGACGCCCAATGAGTGAAAATCTGCTCCTAATAGTAAAATAAAAAATGCAATAAAACTAAAATGTTTTTTTTCATTAGAAAAGCCTTTAATTACTTTAATTACTTTATAAATAAAATATATTATTATTATGAACACTATTATGTTAAAAAAATAATGAATGAATTTTTACAAGAATTTTGTTCTTTTTTATATTTTAATTATAATAATTTATATGCTTTTAAATATGATCTTTTAAAAGTATAAATCTTTTAAAAGTATAAATCTTTTAAAAATATAAATCTTTTAAAATTCTGCATTAAATTGTAGCGGTTAATTGATAGTGTTATTTAATTAAAACTGTATTTACTAATCTTCAATGGAAATGCTCACTTCAGTTCAACGAACCCAGTATTAAAAAAGAATTAATTTTTTGTGCGTATAAACATGTAGATTTTTGCAAATACGGATGTCCATACACGATATTATCAGAAAACAAGATAGTTACCTATAATATATTTAAAATCTACTGGTAATTTTCTAATATTTCTATAACAAACGACTTCGTATCAAAGACTATAGAGCCAAAGTACTTACAATTCATTAACATTAATAATAAAGGTTGGCCGCTCGTATCTGAGCAGGCTTGTCTGCTGATCCCAATTGCAGACGCCTGCTCAGGCACATTTCTGTTTGTTTAACACCCACAGAGCTCACCTGTGGTTTATACTGCAACTATGCTGAGCCGACCTTAGTTACAGCTTCTCGGAGAGAACGCATTATCTGGCGTGATCAGCAGTCTGAATAATGCCAACACGCTCACACCCTCGATCATGATGACTTGTAACTTTGTGCTTGCACAACCATCAACGAGAGTTACGTCTACCCAAATTCACAAGGTTTGGATCAATTTCAGGCACTCTTTCAAAGTTACCGCACGCTGGGATTGTCTCTACAGGCCGATAACATCAAATCGACTATGTTGATATTCGAACTCGTTTCTCATGGTCGAAAAGCGAACGCCCTAACCGCTTACTCATTAAAAATATAAAATATTACACCCCTTAAAATGTTTTTCTTAAATTCTTAAGATTACTGGGTAGTGTTGTTAAAATAAAACTATAAAAAGGCGTTCAAATTGTATTCGTCAATTTCTATTCTCTTTAATTGAATGTAAAAAAATTCTCAAACATCATGTTGTCAATAAATCATTCAACACGTCAGAAAAAAACTGCTCCGTGTTAAGAAAATTATTTTCTGTGATATTTTGAACTAAGAAAAGAAGTAATATTTCTTTCAATTTAGAGTAATCAAACTTTAAATCAGCTAATTTTCTACAAATAACATCAATAAGAGAGGTACGTCTAGTAAATTGAAAAATTATTGGTAATCTTCAATTTCACAACAAACGTCTTTATAAATAAGGCTATAAAGCTAAAGTACTTAAAATTCAATAAAATATTAAAATCCTTAAAGTATTTTACACTTTTAAGATTACTGGGTAGTTATATATAGATTACTGGGTAGTTATATATATAGATTACTGGGTAGTTATATATATATATATATATAATGGCTAGGTTCAGAGTACATACGTCTGCCAGGGTGGGTGGCAAATCCCGATGACAGACACACGCACAACCCACAGAGCCCACCTGTGGTTTATACTGCTACCATGCAGACCTTAGTTACAGTTTTCGGGAGAGAACGCATAATCTAACGTGATCAACAGTCTGAATAAGGCCGGGTATGCTGAAACCCTCGGTCATGATGACTTGTGACTCCATTCACGCATAACCATCGACGACTTTCAAAATGTTTGGCCAATCCAGTTTCACTCACAAAGGCATGGGATGACAGGCACTTTTCACCTCCCTTGGCCGATATAATCAATATGTTATATATATATATATATATATATATATATATATATGTAAAGCAAATATATGGATATAGATCCGACAGTATGAAGAAAATATACAGAAAAAACAAACAAAAATCTTAATATGCAATTATGCTGTATTAATGTTAATATAAAGTCGACGTCGGACGTTTCGGTCTATTTTAGACCATCTTCATGGACATTTTCATTTAAACATAACATTAGAACATATAAAAATTTAACACAAAAGACGATGGACATAAGAGCACAACTAATCCAAACAGATAACTGAAATTTTTATATAAGATCAGTGTTCCGTTTAAATATGATCACGTCGTCGTCACGTGGGCGATGTTGTGAAAACGCATTCGAAGATGATTTCCAAATATTAAAATATTAAAAAAGTCGATTGAACTATTTTATATAAACAGTTCAAGAAATCCCTTCCGTTGATATATGAATACGCAGAGATCAATAGGTTCTTATATCTTTATACAAGCTTGAAGTCCTCCACGTTACAAAGCAATCAAAAATGATTTCAAAAACGATGGAACAATTTTAAAAAACAGTTCGATAATAAATCCTTTCCTTACTTGATCAATAGATTCTTATATTTTCGTAAAAGCTTGAAGTCTTCCATGTTATAAAGTAAATTCAGGTTTGTATTTCCAGTAGACAGTATGTAAGCAAATATATGGATATAGATCCGACAGTATGAAGAAAAATATACAGAAAAAACAAACAAAAATCTACACAACTAATCCAAATTGCATATTAAGATTTTTTATATGTTCTAATGTTAATTAGGTTTAAATGAAAATGTCCATGAAGATGGTCTTAAATAGAGCGAAACGTCCGACGTTGACTTTATATTAACATTAATATAGCAGAATTGCATATTAAGATTTTTGTTTGTTTTTTCTGTATATTTTTCTTCGTATATATATATATATATATATATATATATATATTGAACAATAAGAAAATAAAAAATTAAAAAATTAAAATCATTAGACACACTGGGTTGTAGATTAATATTCTTTCGTTTTTTTATTATTATTATTCCATTTAGATTTCTCGACTAGTTTCGACCGAAATGGCCATCATCGGGAGGAGAAATTATATATATATATATATATATGAAGAAATATACTCTTAAAGTGTCCTATATTTATGGGAAAAATGCTCAATATCAGAGATAGAGTGTGTGTAAAGATAAAAGTGAACATTGAAGTCAACACCTAGAGTCTGTTTCATGCTAGACGCAATCGTCAGGCCTGACAATTGCGTCTAGCTTGAAACAGCCTGCCACCTCTAAGTGTTGACTTCAATGTTCACTTATATATATATATATATATATATATATGTGTGTGTGTGTGTGTGTGTGTGTGTGTGTGTGTGTGTAAGCGAAAACAAAAATAGTGTCAAGCCAGAAATGTTGTATTTCTTCAGATGAAAGTGGCTGTTAAATCTAAAACTTTACTTTCTTTGCTTTCACTGATACAAATTTGTCAATCAGTATAACTCGACATGGAAGTTAACAAAAAACTCATTGTCAATGTTCGACACCGACAGGCTTACGGCCATATCACGTTGCAACACTGGTTCTCGTACGACCACGGAAGTTAAGCAACGTTGAACCTGGTGAGTACCTCGATGAGTGACCGCTTTGGAATACCGGGTTCTGTAAGCTTGGATGTGCGGGTGGCTTAATGAATAAAGGCTTGGAATTGGAAATCAGAGAGTCAAGTTGAGTTCGTTTACATTCACTCACGCTAAAATACCATTGGGAATGGTTTGAATCCATCTCTTCTCCCACTAGACATGGGTAAAAAAGTAGAACAGATTGGGCCATATAGCCTTGGTTGGCAACCAGTCTAGAAGGAAAGCTCTGAATTCAAACCAACCTGGAAATAGGTGGGCTCCGACAAGCTATTCTGCTTTATACACACCACTACAGTACATTTGCTGCCCCTATGACGCTAATTCATGATAATGATCTTGAGGAGTCTGACCACATTGTTTGCTATTTGGCTCTGTAGAAAGGACACAACTCTTTTTCTTTCACTACCTCCCTCCCACCCCCTCTCTCTCTCTCTTTCTCTCTCTTCTTCAAACGCAAGATTTTATGAAGACAAGACGTGTCTCATTTCTCCTCCGAGGGACTTCTTTGTACCTAGCGATCCATGTGTCGCATTGCAGACAGCGCAATATATCACTACGCCATCTCCTGTTCGCAAAAAACTTATGTAACGGCAATAATATCTCCAATATAACCCATGATAAAAATATATATCTCCTTCCACCACAAAAAAAAACCCACTTAACTTTAACAAATTGTTCAACGCCATTACAAACTGGCAACCTAATGCCGTTACAAACTGACAACTCCCGTTATCAACACTGAGATCGCATCAATTCTTCATTCGCGAAAAGGCAGGATGTACGCGTTTTAACTTACTTTTTACGCCTGCTATGGACATAAGTAAAAACAATGAATATTCCTGAACCACAAACAAATAAAAATACAATTTGTTCTAAAATTTACTTAGTCAGCAGATACGGAAAACTGGCTTCTCTCTGGCAGAAAAGGAATTGTTTTCTTTACCATAATTTCTTTTAAGAAGATATGAGTGCACTTTGAACTTAAAAATTTTAATTTAAGTTTCTCTCTCTCTCTCTCTCTCTCTCTCTATATATATATATATATATATATATATATATATATATATCTTCGTTCCCAGCCATAAACTCGCTTTCTTTCCCCATCCCATTCCGACATCAACGTGACTATAATGTATGTTCACACTAGACGTCTGGTGGTCATTTATATGGATTGAGTGCTAAGTCTTCCGCAGATATCCAAGTTGTTATTAACATTATTTCTTCTTCTTCTTCTTCTTCTTCTTCTTCTTCTTCTTCTTCTTCATCACCATTATTATTATTATTTAATAATTTATTAAGTTTTGGAAAAAGAGTGTTGGAAACGTTTACAAATACGCTAAATTTTATAATCTTCATTAATTATTACTTTTTGTTTTGTTTGGTATCAGTGGGTTTTTTTTTCAGCCTTCCTTAATTCTTTTCTCCTTTTCATTCTTTCTTTCATTTCTTTCTTCATTCGTTCATTTTTCTTCCTTCATTTTTTTCTTTCTTTCTTCATTTTTTTCATTCTTCTATTCATTCCTTTCTTCCTTCCTTAATCCGTTTCTTCTTTCATTCTTCCTTTCATTTCTTTTTCTTTTCTTTCTTTCCTTTCATCCTTCCTTCTTTCATTTCTTCATTCCTTTCTTTCTTTCTTCTTTCCCTAATTCATCTCTGCTTTTAGTTCTTTCTTCCTCTCTTCATTCATTTCTTCATTCTTTCCTTAATACCTTTTTCATTTCTTCTTTTCTTTCTTTCTTTCTTTCTTTCTTTCTTTCTTTCTTTCTTTCTTCCTTGATTCATTCATTCCTTTTCTTTCTTCCTACATTCCTTCCTTTCTTCAGTCCCTCCTTTCTTGTTTCCTTCCTCTCGTTTTTATTCCTTCCTTCCTTCCTTCCTTCCTTCCTTCCTCCCTTCCTTCCTTCCTTCCTTCCTTCCTTCCTTCCTTCCTTCCTTCCTTCCTTTCCTTTCCTTTCCTTAATTCCATTCTGTTTTGTTTTCTTTCTTTGTAGATCTTTTACTTTCAGTTTCTCCCTCTCTCTGTTTCTTTTTCTTTTCTTCCACTTCACTTTTCACTCACTCTTTCTCTCAAACAGCCTCGTTAGATTTCTAGTGATTAATGGTAAGGATTGAGTGGCAATGAATCTGAAATCTCCAGATTATTATTGTTGTTGTTGCTAATACTACTACAACTTCTTTTCTTAGTATTATTATTCCTCCTCTCCTCCCCACTCTTCCGTCTTCATCATCATCATTATCACCATCTTCATTATTATTATTATTATTATTATTATTATTATTATTCGCTTGCTTCCTTTTTGCGAACGGCTAAACAATCAGGAACTACTTTCACGGGTGAATGCATTTGGTAATCACCGCTTCTAATGCATGTCACATAATTATCTCAACAGAGCCTCTGATAGCGTTAAGCAAAAATGAAGAAGAGAGGAAGAGAGAAAAAAAAGTTTTAAGTATATTTTAAGTAGCGAATGGGTAACAAGAGATCCACCCCCCGCTTCCGACCTATTCAGCCAAAATAACGCGACCGAGAAGAGTTATTACCCTTTAATACATCATTAGGAGAAAGAACAAACAAATTATTTTTTTTGAGTCGGGGAGGGCGTCATTTTTTCAGTTTTTCAGGCTTCTTTTCTTTCTTTCTTTCTTTCTTTCTTTCTTTCTTTACACTGATTTTTATTTCCACAGATTTCTATTATATTTTTCTTTCTGTAATTCATTTATTCATTCATTCTTTCTATACATTTTTATTTCTGAATTTTTTCTTTCTTTCTTTCTTTCTTTTCACATCTCTTTCGTTCTTTTTTCGTTCTGTTTTCTTACTTTTATTTTCGCAGCTCACGCTTTCTTTCTTTCTTTCTTTCTTTTTTCATTTCAGCAATTCTTCCTTTCTTTCTCCCACCTCTCTTTATATTTTGATTCCTTTCTTTTTAGATTGTTATTCAAGCACAGTGCAACGCGAGGTTAATGAGGTTATAAAGATTATGTTGCCGCCATCTTTCAAGACGATAGGACCTCTACCTGCCTTGAAAGTTAGGATTCGAAACTGTTATTTGGAATTGAACCCCGTTTATTGGCGCCAATGTGAAATGCATAAGTAATTCCCACACTTACTAGCCATGGCCATTAATAGTTACTTATTGAGCTTACCATAGTGCTAAACAAGGCCATATTTGTGGCGCATTTTGCATGAATTAAACTCCCAGCATTTGTAAATTGTTTCGCAACAACCTTGAGCATCAGACTACAGTAGGCATCTTTTATTTCTTTTGCTCTCCTCTACCATTCTTTCTTTCTTCTTTACTAAATTTTTCTTTTTGCTTTTACTTTTGTATTAATTTTTTCTTTGTTTTCTTCCTTCCTGTCTATTTCTTCCATTCTTTCCACTTTATTCTTATTTTCTCTTTGCATCTTTCGTTCCTTTTTCTTTCCATTTCCTTCGTTCTTGACTCCCTCGTGTCTCTTTCTTTTTCCAAATTTTTTCTTCCTCTCTCTCTTGCTTTTTTCTTTCTCTCCTTTTTCGTTTTCCTTTCTCTTAATTATATTTTATTTCCCAAAATGTTTTCTTTTTTCTTTCTTTCTCTTCGCATATCACTTTCTTTCTTTTTTCTTTCTTTCTTTCTTTTTTCTTTCTTTCTTTCGTTTGGCGAAGAGATAGGGAACACGGGCAAGAAATTGAATGGTACTTTATATCTAACAACTGTTAATAGCCCATACGAAAACCAATTCAGGGCAAAGGTCAAGCTGTATCAAAATACTGGCTTCTATGCTATAAATCGTCACTCTCTCAAGTATTCCCTCTGCTAAAAGGGTCTTTTCTCGACGAAATGTGCCAAATGCCTTAGTTTAAAACCTTACAAGTCATAATAAATATGATTTGTGCAAGTACTGTAGCTTCACTTCATTGAGCAAAATGTCTTTAGACTTAAGATATTATTATTGGATTATAAGTGAAAATTCCATTTCTAGCTGTGGTAATAATTCCCCCTCACCGGCTAGGCTTTGAATATAGCTGTCACATCTAGTTTGGTGCTTTTGCTCTGTATTTAGAGATTCTTTACAAAATACAAAGAGGAATCTGCAATGTTATCGGTCCTAACCTGGCATTTCGCCTTCAGCCACCCCACCGTTGCCGTAACTTTCCTCTTTTTCTATAAATATTCATAGTAACTATTCTGATGAGCTTTCCTTTTTTTTTTTAGTATCGAGAATTTATGAATTTAAGCGTAGAACTAGATATTACAGTTGAAATGGCTAGATGTAATTGTAAGTTCTATGCTAACAGTTTCTTCTATCGCACTTCTCGCCTGTGGAGCTCTCTTCTGGCTTCTTGCTCTCCAGCTTTGATCTTCAAAAGTTGTAAGTGCTATGTCAATCGTTATCTTTTCTCGTTTTAATTCCTGTTCTTTTGTTGTTCTCTCTACTTAATAATGCTCTTTTTTTCTCGTATTCTTTCGCACTCAGTAACCCCTTACGTCTTAGAGGATTTATTGCGTATATTGAGGTGAAATGATTTTTTTTTTTTTTTTTAAAAAAAAAAAAAAAAAAAGAAAAAAAAAGGCGGCTCTACGAGTATTTTCAGCCAACACCGCAACTTGTGACAAAATCAAAACATTAACTTAAAACTCGAATCTTGTACTTGCGCCTGGTCACATCAAAACTTTCATCCGGATGCCATGTATGGCTCTAAACCCATTGAGAAATGTCTAAACATTCAGCTGTATTTAACCGTTTTCTTAAAACGATGGTTGAAAATGACATCGAGCGAGTGAAGCACGTAGGTCTTAGCTAGGAGTATTTTTCTTCGAAACTCTTGGATTGGCACTACAGAATCGCAAAGATTTGTAGCAGGTAACAGAAATCACATCGCTTGAGGATTTTCAACCCCAGCAAAAACTAAAATGATATCACATGTAACATGTAGCCGTAATAATATAATCCAAATGTTGACCATCCACACTAACTCAAACAAACGGTTAGGAAGGAAATAACAGTTCGTACAGAAACCCATTTTCCAGAACAAAAGTTTTAATACAAAGATTATATATATATATATATATATATATATATATATATATATATATATATATTATAATAAAAAAAAGAACAGTAAGATATATAATCCGGTGTTCTTATTGATATTTTTATTTTACAAAACAGTGCTCAATGTAAATTTATAGAACATAAATATTATAAATTAACTGATTTAAAATATGGTTTCTTCGCTACACAGGAATTACCATGTTTCAAAAACCGAAGCTAAAACATCAAATTTAATTATATAATTAAATTACAAGCATTAGTTCTGTTTCATCTTCAAAAGATGAAACAGAAATAATGCTTTTAATTTAATTATATAATTAAATTTGATGTTTTTAGCTTTTGAAACATGGTAATTCCTGTGTAGCGAAAAAACCATATTTTAAATCAGTTAATTTATAATACAAAGATTATGCAGATTTCAACCGAAAGCAGCATTGGCTGTTCGGTCAGTGAATGTAAAATGTTTCCACATGAAGAAACAGCTAAAGTTACCGTTAGTATTTCTATTAGTATATCTTCTAGTTCCATCACTAGTTATTTTCATTATGATCTTGTCTCTTGAATGCTATAAAAGTGAATGAGCAACTCAATTTTCTATCGTAGTATTTCCCACCCTTTTTCTAACCAACTTCCAGGCCAAAGAGCAAGAGAGGCCAATCAACCCTGTTATTTAACACGTCGTTGACGGGATGGGCTAGAAGAAATACATTCATAACTTTCTAAAAGTTATTTGTGCAAAATTAAATGTAATAAACTCGGCTGGATTTCGAACTCAGCTCGCCAATTTTCCATTTCAGTTCGCTAATCGCCACATTTCACGCGCATCGTGCCTTTGACAAAATAAATAAATTAAAGAGCTAACCAAGTAAACTAATTTATTTAGCTGCTTTCGTAACATGAAAGGGTAAAGTTACAGTTTTAATGGGGGGGTGGTACAAGGATATCAGCTCCACGACACCAGGCTGAGAGGCACCGAGAAGAAGTCTTAGATCCCCGCGTTTTATCTAAACAGTTGCTCTGTCATCAACAGCCTTTTCCAGTCACTGCAGAACAGGGATTTCCAATGTAGGCGGTGCCGCCCCTGTTGGAGCGGTGGAATGATCCAACGAGTGAGAAAAGGTGTGGGGCGGGGGTAGAAAAAATTGAGCGACAGGACAGGATTAGAAACAAGTAATGCTCCCCTACTTTTTGCATCATATTTAGTAGAGTGGAGTTTCCCTTCAATCACCCAGCTTCTTTCCAAACAAAGAAACTGACGGAAAACAATTGAATGTGGATATATAAGCCTACTCGCGACACTTCTTTTTTTTAAATTATCGTTCACTCTGTTCTTTTTAATACTATCGTTCACTTATTACACGGCCCAAGAGCCACTCTAGGTAGAAGTTTACCGAATAAGATTGTTGTATGAGCCTAAGAGGAGGAAGTAAGAATATTATGCACCGGCAGACAGAATTGCCTTCTGAGGAGTTACTTTAAGGCAACGGTTCCCAACCTTTTTTGCATCATCACATTTCGCATGGAAAAATGAGTCGAAACATTGAGGAATGAAAATCAAACATAAAAGTGAAAATACTAAATTTCTCCACTTCTCATTCTCATAAAAGGGAATTACGATAAAAGGGAATTACATTGATAAATTATATATATATATATATATATATATACATGTTTCATTAAATAATATAGACAAGTGTTATCTATTTATTTTATGTAAATTCTTTTCATAACGTCTGATAAACTTAATAACATTATCATTAAACGAATAATTTATATAAATTATATTATATACATACACACACACACACACACACACACACATATATATATATATATATATATATATAAATTATATTATATGCATATATATATAAATTGATATATCATATATAGATATATAAATTATGATAAAAGGGAATTAGATTGATAAATGTTTACTACTTGTTCTTTATCTTATGTCTGTCTATATCATTGAGATTAATATTTACCTTACTCGGACTGTTATCTTCATTGCCATATTCACAACGTTTCGTACGCTCCGACCTTCTTCAGGTGATTGGAATTTCGAATCGAACCCTTTATTCTGTCCACCGGGGTAGATGGTTCTGTTTACTCCAGCTATCTCAGTTATTTCCCTTAACTCAACTCTCCAAGTTTTTGAGTTCACCACTGCTGTAGCCTGGTATTAAATATAACGAACTCGGTCTAGTCACGGGATTTAACCAACGTCGTTATCCACTGGGCCATGTGTCCTTAAGGACATCTATGTTTGAATTTCTGGGACTTATAAACCAAATATCTCAGCAATCATTTTTTACCAGTGCTTATATTGCAATTTTTCCTTTATTATTATTGCATATTTTTTACCAGAGCTTATATAGCAATTTTTTGTATTGTTATTCATGGCTTTTTTTCTAGCACTCCTTATTACTTTTTTCTCCTATTGTATTCATCTCTATGCTTGGTCGGCTCAGGAGATTTTTGTGGCCGTGCATATGTGCTGATTCCTTAAGTTTTCGTATTTTCCAGTGATGTTCTCTATCATTTTCATCTTAATCGCACAGAGAGCGGTGGACTCACTTTTCCCTCCATATGTGGTCAGCTACGCCTGATTTTTTTTATTTCCCCTC